ACCATTATATTGATTATAAATGATGTAATATTTTCCATAAAATATAAAGGACTTAATTAGATTGACTAGAAGTATCTTCAAAAAGAGTTGAAGAGCTCTTTTAGGGACACTAAATGTCTAAATTCGGGTCGGGTGCTGTGCATTTCATTCGCGTATCCCGCAAATTCCCGGGCGCCCGTCATCCCGCCGGAATCACTGAAGGTGATTTTCGCCGGTTCAGAAAATGTCGGTCACTTTTAGTAAAGCTCTCATCATCTCGTTTCAAAAAGGTTTACTTCTCTACATGGCTACCCGCTGTTTCCCCTCCCTCTTGTTTCCTTCTCTCTCCCGAGTCCCGAAAGCTTTGGGATTTCAACATTTTAGTTGGGCTGTTGAGGTGTGTGAACTTTGAAGTGCACTCCTGAGAATAAAAAAGGATGATTCTTTTGGCTTTTTAACTTCGGTTGGTATCAATTTCGATCTCTGTTTCCTATTATTCACACTCAGAGTAATAATAGCTGCTGCTTCATCCCTGTGATACAGGTCAGCTGGGTGGACTGACATTATTTGGATGTTCATATTTTCTGTGTTGGTTTATAGCTCTTTTTTTATCTGTTACTTAAATTTTACATTCATAAAAATGATAAAATAGAAGTATTTCTTTCCTTTTATAATCTTTTATAGTCAGTTTTTATTGCAGTCTTTGCAGATGGCCTCATGGTTCAGACCTCATACTAACTTATAATGGAGAAATCTTCACATTCCTTTGCAGACTTCTATGTGATTTTCCTAACCTGACAACACATTGATTCTCTCCATTTGTCTGCGTGGAAAATGAGCACAGCGTTGGTTTTCAAATGAGAAGCCTTGGATCTAATTATATTGGAATAGCTTCTGTACAAGTATCAATGGTTGTAAAGTGGCAAGAAAACATTCTTGGATGGTTTAAATGGGTTGGACCATGGGCAGTTTTCTAAAAAGGTTTCACTTCCTTTGTAATCATCTTTCTCACTACACGCTAAGATCAAGAAACATAATAAGTTAATGAAAACTGCACCACTTCATCTCCTATGATATTTTGGATTATTAATGATATTTGTAGTAGTAATGTGAAATTATTCAAATGGTTTAAAAAAAAATTTTAGCTGAGCTTCAGCAAGAAAGTGAACATGGATTATGTATGGAATTTTAAGGAACTATAATTAAGTTTTTGCTTGTTATTTCAATTGGCAGCTGCTCCTAGCTATTGTCAGATAGAGAAGACCATTATGATTTTGGTGTGAGCAAAGCAAGACATAACTGTGGATTGTGGGTCGTCTACATGGGACATTGGATCCCTAATGAGCTCTGCCCTTAATTGGAGTTAAACTATGCATAGAGAATGTGTTCTTTCTTACTGACTTATCATGTTTCAGATACTATCTGTTAAAATTTTCATCTGTGATTATGTTCTCTGTTCCAGTTGTCTTGGTTTGCTTCCATTCTTTCTATGCCTGTCTAGGAATCACCTAAATAACCTAAATATTGTGTGTTATGAAGTGTTTTGTAAAGAAAGATAGAGAAGACCAGAATGATCCCACCATTTCTGAGTTTCTTGAAACTTTACTAATTGCATATCATGATCCAGATTTGATACCAATCCAATATTCAAGGTGCACTAGCTGCTGAAGTTTGAAGCTGCGATATCTAGTTCCAACTTTCTAGGTTTACTAGCTGGTAAAGTATTCTTCTAATGGAATTTGGAAATCGGTAAGTAGCTATATCTAGTTCTAGCTGTATTCTAATTCTGTAGATGGTCTGTGATGCTAACGAAAGGAAATCCTTTCTGTTCATACACTAGATGAAGCCTTTCCAAGAATGGGGTTGCTACTCCACAATATAGTTTTGCTTGTGTTGTATACCTGTACAGCTAGACATTATGCCATGTTGATTCCCTTTATATATATATTTTAACCTCTAAGAAATCTCTAAATATGGCTTGGTTCCATATCTCCTGCAGAAGATTTTCATTCTCTAGAATTTTGGATTCTGATATTCCAATAAGCACAAAGCATCTTTGACAATCTTACAAATCTCTAAATATGGCTTGGTTCCATATCTCCTGCAGAAGATTTTCATTCTCTAGGATTTTGGATTCTGATATTCCAATAAACACAAAGCATCTTTGACAATCTTACAGATCTCCACATCAATTTCAATATTCTAAAAGCCCATAGTAATTCATATAAGTTAAATTTTGTTTATTTATATTTGCTATTATATGTTAGAATATTTTTACACCGTATGAAGATTAAAGAATTTTGAATTTGTAACCTTTCAGGATCTTGGTCTTTCTGTCTGCTATAGAACCAAGGAATCAGCAAACGTATCCTCTGAAAAATGTGAGTTGTTCATTGTCTATCAGTTTTCATCCTGTTGTACATGCCAAATACAGCAATCTCATTCTGTTTATCTATTTTGTCTATGGCACTGACTTTAGTGCTGGTTTATAACCAGATTGAAGTAGCAGTGAACGAATGGGATATACCTAGGTTTCCATTATGCAGAATTCTGATAGATAGAGTCAAATCATAATGAACCACTTAATTAATTAGGCTAATGCAGACAAATTTCTTCTTTTTGCGTTTGTCATGTTAGTCATGAGGAAGCATCTGGACAAGATATGTGGCAGCACAAGCTAGATTGCAGCTCTAGTCAGTAGTCACCAAGAGGTCATCCTAAATTTTATGCTACCACAATTTCAGCATTATTTTGTGTCCAATAATCATACATCTTTATTTACATATTTATTTACCTATTGCTGAGAGTGCATCTTTGTTTTATTTCTATTTTATGTGCATAAATTATTAAAAAATGCCTTTGGGTGTGGTTAACTTCAATGATGTAAGAAAACCAACAACCAAATGCATAAAAAGGGAAAATTTGCCCCGTTGGACGACTTGAATGTTCTCTTTTTCAATCTCAAGGGTGTAGTCCCCCACCAAATCCATGGTTAATTACTTGGATCAGCTATGTCAAAGTTAGTTAATCTCATGCACTCATTAACATTTAATTCTTTGATGCATAATACTTTAGGTTACAAAACAGGGAATGGCTCTTTTGCATCTCGTAATCTGTTAATTTATTCCAAGGATTAAGACATTGCAGTTGAAAGCTGTGACCAATTTGTACACTAAATTCTAACTTGATTAACGTTCATTTAAATTTAGGTATACTTTATATTAACATATTTAGTTGATATGCTGCAAGATACTATTTTCTTTAGCATTGGCAGCTTGAGCAAAACTAGAGGTGTCAACCAGGTTTAGTAACATTAGAAACTATTCACTTAGGCATATTGGATTAAGAGATTTGAACCCAAAAATTGAAGACTTACTCAAAATAATCATCCTTAATTTACTAAACAAACCGTCCATACATCATGTCAAGGTTTATTTAGCCTTTTATTTAGATTGTAATTCTATTTTAGTGATAAGATATTAGATTATAGAATATGTATTTGTTTTCAGTTAATTTTAATGAAATAATAAACCAACATACCAAAGAGAAAAGCAAAAACTTGTCCCATTAGAAATTCTCTATGCTTTTTCTTCAACCAAATCTCAAATTTAATTATCTGAGCCAACTTTGTTTTACCACTATTCATTTTGGTTTCGGCTCACCTTTTCATTTGTACCTTGAAATTTTAAATTTGATCCATATTCAATTTGAACTCCAGTTGTAACTTCCCTTTTTTTTTTTAGGCCGAAGACTATATGCAACTCAGTTGTAACTTCAATAACAACATTTCATTGACATATTTTATTGAATATTAAGGTATTAACTTATTTATAGAATTATTCCAAATTATTGCTGATCATTATTCAATAAAAGAACTCTCATGAAGTCCATGATAGGATAATTATTTTAATTTTTAAAAAATCAACACATGAATTGAAAAACCACTTGATCTTGCTTTTGACATGTGAAAGCTTCATTTGGATTATGTGTAAATCATGCCTAGGTTATAATCTTGAAATTTTCTATCATGATATATGCTGTTATACATAATTTATTCTAGTGCAGGGTAACAAATTATAAAAATGTTCTCTCTTTTCTTTTCTTTTTTTTTTGGCCAAACTAAAAATGTCTCTGTTTAATTAATTCCAATGGCATTAAAAACCATCATAACAAACAGAATAGGGAAAATTTGTGCGCATTAGACTAAAAATGTTCTAGTGCATCCTATGACACTGTTGAGGGAGCAGCCAAGGCTTATGATGAGGCAGCCTGCATCCTCCGTGTTGCCAACACCAGGACCAACTTCTGGCCATGTTCTCTGACTTCTAATCCTACCCCAGCTCTTCCTTCTAAGATCACTAGCCTCCTTTTCCATAGGCTAAGAGGCAGAAACAACACCTCCGATTCCTTGCCAGATTCTTCCTTGATTAAAAAGCAAGAAATTCAAGGAGAAGAAAAGAAGCATAATGAAGGATCAGGGGATTTGTTTGATACATAGTTCATTGATTTTTTCAATGATCCTGAAGATTATAGCATTTCCAATGGCTGCTACATCAGTAATACTACTGAAAATGCTTCTGATTACTTGACAACGAGTCTTGAATCATGTTTCACAAAGGAGGATTCTAGTGGGAGAAATTTGGGGTTGGATTATTGCAATTTCAGGATGCTGCTCAATCTTCCAGGTGTGATGACATTGTTGAACAAGGACCTGATATGGAAGCACTTGATTTTCATTTTGTGGATGACATTGGATCATCCGGTTACTACTCTCCATTCGAGATGGCTGAAGAGATTTGAGGAGCCAAAGGAGGCAGAGAATTTCTTGAACGAGCCCTCAATGTTAAGAGCTGCCATGAAGAGAATAAAGTATGAGAGGAAGTTCTCTGCTTCTCTTTATGCTTTCAATGGAATACCAGAGTGTTTGAAGTTAAGGCTCGAGTTTGAAAATGTCGAGGGTGGAAGAGTAAAAGTTGAACTATCAATTCAAAGTCTAGAGGGCAAGAAAGGAGAAGGAAATGGAAATGAAGTGATGGCGAAGAAAGTGGAGGAGAGCCTGGATTCTCCAAGCAGCTCAGTGGAAACGAAGTCTTCTTCAAGCAATGAATGTGAATTTTGTCTGTGGAGCTCACTTGATCTTCCAACTATCTGTTCTGTTAACTGATGGATGTAAGTAGTACTGCTTTGATTCCGGGTACTAGTTCTGATCTTCTGAGATAGGTTGAGGGAATAATGACATATTGACATGTAACGATGGGTTTATAACCCTGAAATTTGTTCTTTCTCTCATGTTCATGAATCATTAATTTTGTGAGCAATTATTCTAATTTCTAGTACTTTATCAAGATAGATAGAGACTGTGAAAGCCAATAAAGCATTTGTATAGTGATCAAAGAACTGATCCGGGTCAATAAAGGTTCTGAATTCAATCCTTCAGAAATAGTGTAAAGAAGAACAAGAACTAATTATAAGGCTCTCCCAAAAGGAAAAAAATATATATCATAAGATTTTCCCTTCAGAAGTCTCCGCAAAGAATGCTTTTATAGTTAATTTGATCAAAATTGATATTATTTTGCAAAATAAAAATTGCTAGTAATAAGTTTCAGAAACAAGATAGAGTATTATGTTATTAAAAAATGTCCTCTCGATGTAAAAGTAGAAGTACAGAATATAAAAACCATCAAAGAAAGCATATATAGGACACAGAAACAAATAAACATCAACATCAGAAAAGAAAAGAAGAAAGAAATGTTTTTCTGGTATTTGAAGTACAGATACAGCTGAATTATTGATAAGAAAGAACAACTATTTATAGCAATACATTCAAATTTCAAACAATAGTCATATCACATATTTGGTTGAAAAGTTATAGTCCGACCACATCAACCGACAGCTAGAAGATTAAACTAAACTTAAAAATCAGTTGAGAACAAAACGAAGTGCAAATGAGATATATCATTTACATAATATCACAAGAACAATACCAGTGTCAGCTCTTCAGTCTGTGTGTAGAAGATACCAATTCCGATCATTTCTATCCTTCCAATAGCACTTTGAGTGGATTATGTAGGTACAATCTGGCTCTTTGCATTGAATGGATAGATCATCACTACAAGGCTCACCACAGAAGTTGCATTCAGGTGGGTCAAAATCTATCTTCACCAAAGTGACAGGGTGTTCATGATCATCAATCTGGAATGGTTTCCAGAGGTTGACAAATGGGGATTCCCTAAGGACACAATCAAGATGAGCAAAAACATTGCAATCACTACAATGATAAAACCAATGTTTCGGATCTCTGTCTTCTTCACATATGTCACAACAACATTGACTTAGATCATGATCATCGCGAAAAGTAAGCTTGAGAGCATGATTGTCATGTTTGTACGAAGCTGTTTTTGGTAGCACAAGGCATCTATAATTCAAGGCAAAATTGCATTTTTTGTCCCCGCATCTAAAACTGCGCCCAAAACCATAATCATCACAACCATAACATTTCCCTATGTATTTGTGGTCAAAGAAAAGGAAGTGCTCTCGTCCATCTATAATTTCACTACGAGTGTCAAGAATTTCATTACACCTGATGCACATAATGTCGTTGCATGCATTACAATGGTAGCCAAACCCACTACTCCAAAACTCGCAATGGTCACAATAAAAGATGGAATAGAAAAAGAGTTCTCTTAAGTGCATGCAAATCCAGTGACGCACCTCCTTGGGTAACCCATGAACACAGCACTTGCAGAGAAAGAAATTACATTGTGCACAATAGTAAAATGTAGAGATGGAACGAATGCAACCTTCACAACTTTGGCCATCCTCAACCGCATCATCACTCAATATTAAGTTGTGTCTATGGCTGAAATGCTTTATCTCGCCAGGTTTGATTTCCTGAAAAGCAGGAGAGATAGCAATCAAGTCATCTGATGGTTTGGACCTTTCATCTTCCAAAAGAGCTTCATCAATTGCACAATTTACATGAGCAAAATAGTTACAATCTGAACAGCAGTAACTCCCATATCCCAGATTTATTTCATCATGACAAATATTGCATTCACGTTTTCCAGCTTCCTCATCTTGAAAGAAATAGATGTGAGAAAGTAGATGTGGATGCCTTATTATTTTGATGGTGCGTCGAAGTGAAGTGCAATCTGTATGAATAATAAGGCTGCATTCAGCACATGTAAAGCAAACATGACTTCCATCCGTTCCACATGCATTACAGATAAATGAAACTGTGCCTGAAATAGGGTTCAACGGATGTTCATGAATTTCAGCTCTAATTGTTTGCAAAAAAGCATCCGTAGCTTTGAAATCAAACTCACAAACAGAACAATAATAAACAAATCCCTCATAAGACTTGGTGCACAAATGACAAGAACATTTCTCTTGATGTGGTAAATGTTTGGTCAAAAGCTTTAGAGGGTGCTTCCGGTGGCCAGGGTGATTGATCTTAAGAGGCAACTCTGCACATTTCTTGTGAAGGAGAAATCTGCAATTGGGACAAGAATAGAATGGACTTGACTTGTACATGGGTTCCGTACATCCTGGACAGACTACATATTTGGTTTGATGTTCAATATCTTCAACAAGTATCAATGGATGATCGTGGCTAAAATGTTGAAGCTTTTGAAACTCTTGAGCAACAAATTGAGGATGCATAGCACATCTAAGGTCAAGGTCAAAATCACAAGACTTGCATCGATAAAAAAATCTGATAACTTTCCTGCAAACATTACAGCTATTATGAGCATAATCTTCCAAATGAAGAGTGAGAGGGTGCTCGGAGTGGAGGGGGTGATTAATGATCTCCGTTTGTAGCTCAGCACATTTCTTATGAAGGAAAAACCCACACTCACCACAACCGTAGCTGGAACCCTCTA